TAAAATTTTATAAAATAATATTTATTACAATCTACACTTAAACATAATCTATAAAATAAAAAACTAAAATTTAGTTTTACATCAAGAACTCAAATTTATGCATTATTAAAAAAACTAAACTCAATAAGATAATTAATAATAAAAAATAAAAAATATGCACCCAAAAAATAGAAAATGAGAATAGATCAAATAACAAAACAAAAGTCCTTTAAAGATGTTTAGGTTTTTGCGCCCATAATTTTCCTTAATCCTATGCTTCAACTTATTAGAAAGAAATAGTGACTAATAACATTGCATTTATTTTACACTTTTATCATGTAAAATTTAAAATTTGGGGCAAAAAAATCATTTAATCAATACACAAAAACTATGATTTGAAAATCACCAATAGAATCAAAATTTGATGTTATAAGTACTCATTGTTGTCTAAGAGTGCAAAGAAGGAAAAAATTTGTTGACTACGTGTGTTATATGTGTTCGGCTTAGAGTTTGTTAATTTCTTTCTTTTTTTATTAAGTTTCAATTATATAAATACATGTAACATGTCAATTAAATAAATTGGTTAAACACATCACGTAAATAATTCTGAACCTTTATACTTATTACTTGATTTAATACTTGTCGATATACAATTTTCATACCCATCACTTACCCAATTTTTTTCCAGTTTGGGTAAGTTTCTTACTCAAACAGATGAAAAACATGCAAGTAACAGGTATGACCATACCTAATGCTCACCCTTAAAATAGAGGGACGAAATTGTACACGTTCGAAGCTTTTGGGTGCATTTTAAACAAACTGAAAACTGAGGGTTTAATTGCACAATCTCCAAAAGATGGGGACTAAATTAGATTTTAAGGAGGTCGACCATTGACCGATTGACTCGAGATTTAGGTTAATTGAGTTTGATTAATTAAAGTAAACATTAGTTAAGATACTTGATCTTGATTAATTAAAGTTAATTAAAGGTAATTAATCATATTAACTAAAATTAATTAGCTTAATCAATACTTGATTAATCTAATCAACTCTTGATCAAAGTCACTTGAAAATGATTAAGATAATTAATTAAATCCAATTAAATTTATTAATCTAATTAATTAATCAATTAACTTAATTAAAACAATGGACTAAATTTAAGGCCCAAATTCATTGCAGATATTCTTTTAGCCCAAAAACAAAGGTTACAGGGCTAGCCCATTTCATTTAAATTATTTTTATTTTTTATTTCTGAAATGGACCTAACTAGAGAATATACAATCGGGCCTTGGCCCAGAAGTAAAGAAGAAACAAAGGCCCCCCAGCCCAAAAAACTTAGCGGCTAACTTTCCCCAGAATCCGGCACCATCCGGGAATTCCGGCCAGATTCCAGCTAGGCAAGAAAAATATGAAAAAAACCAGAAAACAGTGCAGAATAATGGAAAAAAAAACCAACAGTGCTCAAACAACCCTAACACTGTTCGGATAAAAATTAGTAAAGCAAAGGGAAGGAG